TATCTATCTATCTATCTATCTATCTATCTATCTATCTATCTATCTATCTATCTATCTATCTATCTATCTATCTATCTATCTATCTATCATCTACTGAGAGAAAAATGAAATACTTTAGCTAAATCCATTTTTAGGAATATCATGGCTTCTGCTGCCAAGAATTCACTTTGTCTTAAAAAATTCAGCAACCTGTAGTCTCAGATTTAGCTGTGGCCTTTTTATTTTGGGGGCCAAATACATGCGCCTGAAAATACACAATCAAGAGTTCTATTTAAAGCATGCTGCCCTCTGTTCTGAAAGTAGCCCACCTCTTTGAAGTAACTGATTGCACATCAAGTGACTGCTGCAATTAGTGTAGCTGAGATTATTTAAAATGAGGCCAGTGTGATATTTGCTGACAGTGAATAGTTTAATTTTACTCCATATTTAACTATGCATTGTGTAATTAAATATTTTCTGTATCCAAAGTTAGTTTATTATTCTATGTATGAACATTGTGAGATGGTGAAAAAATTCGGCACATTTTTGATACTATGCATGGTTTTATTCATATCTTCTGTTGACATTTTATTGGAATCAACCAGTATTATAAGAGGTGGACTTTAAAAAAAATGAGAACTCATTTAATGCACAGCTCTGGATTGGTATCAAGTACAAATAGTTGTTTCCCGAAAGGGGCAATGGAGAAACCTTTCTTTTGAATTCCAATTGAAAATGCAGTGTCACGAATGAGCAGTGGCTTCTGAAACTTGAACTCCTGAACTTTTCCCTAACAGGCAACTATTATCTACGCACCTGAAATAAAACAAAGAAAAAGACACCTAACCTTTGCACTGGAACAAGAATAAAATAATACATGAGCTGAAAATAAAAGCAGTATGGAAATAAAACTTGAAACGCCAGAGAAAGGGGACCAGAATGCAAGGGGACAAGAACCATTCATTTATACATTGCTTTTATTGTTACCTTTTTGTTTGATTTCTCTGAGCACAGAAGAGGTCATTACACCTAGCAGAGGGTGGCAATACTGAAAACTGAATACAAGCTGAGACGATAAATAGATATGTATGCCTCTTCAGGAATATTGTTGATCCTGATATTCTGGGGTATTTCCGCAAAACCTCTCAATATTCAGAAGGGCAGATATTGGTAAAAAGTTGCAAGTTAACAGGAAGAAGGATGCTTTAATTTGGTAACAGTACAGTATAGCAATAGTATAGTGCAGCACTAAGCCTTGACTGCTGGCCAGGTATAATATTAAATTTTCCCATTAAATCTTATAATGGATATAATTATTAGACTATAGCAACACTATCTAGAAAAATCCTATTACAATATTAAAATACCCTTTTGGAGGGTTATGATGGGTGTAATCACTGTAATGACAGCAATCTTACCAAATTCAACACAGTATAGAAATGTAACTTCAAAGGATTATCTTAAAGTGAGTTACATTGTCATATTTAATTCTTGTTCTGGGTGTTTTCAAAAGTTGGCCCTTGATATTCATAATTATATTAATATTCTAATAAAAAATGTAATGGGTATTTTTAACAAAGGTACATTTTATGAATCTAAGTAGTGAATTCACAAAGCATTTTGTCCAAGCCAAATGAAACTACAAAAGGACTTGTAAAAGTAAAAGGTAAAGGAATCCTGCAGCTTTATCTTTCCAGTCATTGTCAATTATAAGTGGGGAGGGGTTGATGCTCATCTCTGTTTCAAAGTCATTTAACCAGCATTGTCAAAAGACATTTCTGTAGTCATGTGACCAGCATGACATCACATGGTGCTGTTACCTTCCCACCAAAGTGGTATCTATTTATCTACTCGCATTTTCATGCTTTCAATCTGCTAGGTTGGCAGGAACTGGAGCAAGGATAGGAGCTCACTCCATCACATGGCGCTTGGGTCTTTTTTTATTTTTTTTATTTTATTAAGCATTTATAGGCCGCCCTATTCCCTGGGGGGGCTCCGGGGGGCTTACAAAAATGGGGGGGGGGGAGTGCAGGACAAAA